TCTTCTTCTTCCCTCCTCTCCTTCTTTTACTGAGTCAACGAGTCAAGAATTTATTTGAGAATTTCAAAAAGGCAATGAGTCAAGAATTTGAAATGATCGATATGGGCTTAATGTCTTATTATTTGGGAATTGAGGTGAAACAAAGGGAAAGTGGAATTTTTATCGGTCAAGAAGGATATGCAAAGAAAATCCTTGAAAAGTTTAAAATGGATGATTGTAATCCAATCAATACCCCGGTGGATTGTGGTGTAAAATTATCCAAGTTTGGTGATGAAGAAAAAGTGGAGCCCACAATGTTCAAGAGCTTAGTTGGGAGCTTACGATACTTGACTTGTACAAGGCCCGACATTTTGTACGGAGTTGGTCTCATTAGCCGGTATATGGAAGATCCAAGAACCTCTCATTGGAAGGCCGCCAAGAGAATTCTTCGCTACATCAAAGGTACTCTTAACTTTGGCTTGTTTTACAATTCTTGTAAAGATTTTAAGCTTGTTGGGTATAGTGATAGTGATTGGGCCGGAGACGTTGATGATCGCAAGAGTACCACCGGATTTGTCTTTTTTTTTTGGTAATACGGCTTTTACTTGGAGTTCAAAGAAGCAACCCATTGTGACCTTCTCCACATGTGAAGCTGAATATGTTGCCGCCAATTCATGTGTTTGTCATGCTATATGGCTTCGAAATCTATTCAAGGAAATAGGCATGCCACAAAAGGAAGCTACGGAGATATATGTGGATAATAAGTCGGCAATAGCATTGGGAAAGAATCCGGTATTCTATGATCGTAGCAAGCACATTGATACCCGCTATCACTACATTCGAGAATGCATTGAAAGAAAAGAGGTTGAAGTAAGGTATGTAAGGTCTCATGATCAAATCGCCGACATTTTCACGAAGCCGCTCAAGCACGAAGATTTTCGAAGGTTGAGGACCATGCTCGGAGTTAAAAAAAGTTTAAGGGGGGATGTTGAAAATTAAACTTGTTTTTGGGCCTAATTATTATTTAGTTTTAGTTGTTGTTGGGAAGGCCCAAGTGATAGAAAAATGTAGAAGGAAATCAATTAATTGTGTAGAATGTATTAATTGAGTAGAATTGTGTAGAATGTATTAATTGTAGAAGATTCTAGATATCTTTGTGCTAGTATAAATAGAGGTCTCCTACACTCACTTTGTATCAAGCAAATCAAGCAAATTGAGTTGTTCTAATAAAAAGAGTTCTTCCCCTTTGTTCAAATATCTCTTCCATAATATTTCTAATTTAGCCTCCCAATTTCCCAAATCTTCCTTCACTTATTTCCAACATTTCTTTAGTTGTTTATTACGAGTTTAACTAGTTTAAGTTTTAGGTGGCAACTCCGGTACCCATTTAAAAAATGGGGTACCGTATCTATCACTCACTTGATTGGTTCAAATCATTACATCATTTTTAATTTAAATTTAAATAATTCAACTACATCATTCTGATTGGTCCATGTGAACAAAGGTATGGTACATTTTGTGGCTTACGCCTCAATACGCCTCGCCTCTCCGCAAAAAACCCCCTCAATACTTGAACTAGCCCTTTTAAACCATGGTTTACAATAATTATTATTTATCTTCTTCAACGGTAACAATATTTCTTTTTAGAAACTAATATGATCTAAACACTCATCTAGAAGCTAGTATCATTCAACGAGAGTAGAAACGGGGCACAATTCATCTATGACATAAGTAATAGAGCTGCGCTGTTTTTTGGGACCGGAAGCGGGGGCGCATGCGTCCATGCCCGCCTAGGTCCTCCACTAGATAAACCAATCAAATATCCAACGGTAATATATATAGTTATTTTTTGGGACCTCCTACCTTAGCCTATCTGTGTCCCCCATCTCTTTAGACCTCAACCCACAAAGGACAAAATGATTAAAGATTTATTTTTAATATCTTGGATGAATAAATGCTGCTTTAGAAATGCAGTGACATTACATATACTCTTTTGAACCAAAGAAGTGACGAACTTGCTTGCAAAAGCATAGAGATTGTGGGAGCATTATCATTGATGTCCATTGAGATGAACGAACAGATAGCTTCTGAAGAGCAGATTGTGAAGGGGCTGGTTGCTTTGTTGAAGAGTTCTAATAGTCTCAGATCAATGGTTGCTTGTAACTCTATTCTCGATCTTTCTACCACGTCGATGGGACGAAAACATCTTGTTGACTCGTTTGCCATTGAGAATCTAATGTGAATACCAATGGCTTAATTAGAACAGTATAACAGTAATCCGTAACAAAACAACAAGGCTGAGTTGTAATTCTAATACATGCACCCATTATATCATTTGCTCACAAAAGTGGATCTCGGTATGCATGACATTGTAGAATCAAAATGTCATAGAATGATGCCATTATATCTCACCTTCACTTACTCTTCTTTAGTGGGAGGTTTTGAAGGGTAGTCAAGGAGAGGAGTGATAGTTATTAATGTATGGCGTAGAGTGTTGGGCGATGAAGCAATGCCACATTCAAAAGATGAGTGTGACAGAGATGCGTATGTTGCGTTGGATGTGTGGACATACCAGAAAAGACCGCTTGAGAAATGAGGTAATCAGACAAAAGGTGGGAGTAGCACCTATAGAAGATAAGATGCAGGAGTCTCGTTTGCGGTGGTTTGTGCATGTGCATAGAAGACCGAGTGATGCACCTGTTAGACGACTTGAGGAGTGGAGAGAAGAGTCAGAGAAGAGAAGGAGGGGAACACCCAAATAGACTTGGATTAGAGTAATCAGAACTGATATGCGTCTTCTTGGGTTGGATGAGAGTATGGCTTTGGAAAGAGCAAAGTGGAGGGCGCACATCCATGTGGACGATTGATGTCTTGTCTACTTTTCATCTCTTGTTTCTTTTATCGTTTATCTTCATTATCTTTTTATATTCTTATGTTATTTTTATCTTCTTGTTTTTTATGCTCTTTTATCTTTTATCTTTATTATATTCTTGTGTTATTGTTATCTTATATTTATTTATCTTTATTTTATTCATTTTATCTTACTTTTTTTTCCTTTTCTTGTTCGTCTTTTCTTTTTGGCATCGATATCATAGATCGATTCATGTTAGCGGACCTCAAATTCTTTTGGGATTAAGGCTTGGATGTTGTTGTTGTTGTTGATGGTTGAAAATGAAAATGATTTTCAATTCTAAGGCTAACAAGTAGCGAAATATTAGTAAAAACACAACTAGGTTTTTTTCATGAGAATCATTTAATTTCTTGTTTTTTTCAATGATGACTGTGTCGTCTATATTTCGTGATTTTGCATTCTCACGTCTCATATGAGGTCTAACTTGATATTGGAGAAAAAGATGTAAGAATCTGTAGTTTGTTTTTGTTGAATTGTGCTCCACATTTTTCCTTAGAAACCATGTTAAGCTATAACTAATGGCAAGATTGTTTTACAACCCTGACTTACTATTTGTTAGTCTTCGCTTCTTTCAGGACCCTAAATCATCTACTCCTATGGTCTCTGTTAGAGATATACTATAATTAAATATAATCTATTGATATTATCTCTTGTATTTATCCTATAGGCAGTTACCTTTGTATTAGACTTCCCAATTTTGTCGTCGTTGAAAACAATTATCTATTGCGAGTAAGTGTTTTCTTTTGGACTGGTTTGTAGTGTGAGGATGTGAATGAGTTTCAAATTTAAAAAAAAATATGAGCTCTTTTGTGCGTAAAACAAAAGGTTGAACAGGGAAAATATGACATTTTCCGGGTCCTTTTGGTAATTGTTATTTTTCTGAAATTGGTTTTTAAGGAAAATCATTTGAGCAAAAATAACCAAGTGAAAGGCTATTTATTTTGACGGTTAGAAGAATTTACTTGGGTAATTTTTTTGCACACCAACTAGATTTTTTATCAAACACTATTTTTTTTTATTTACGCGCTAAATTAATATATATGAAAAAGGTAAGGTTGGATGTTTATTGGGTGCATTGGCTTAAGATTTGGCATGTAACTTTTTCTTCATGTTAGTAACAAAATACAGATTATTTTAAATACTATCCTCTGTTCTTTTTTAATTGCAACATTCCTTCTTTCACGCTTACCAATGCACAACTTTGATCATCATTATATTTAATTCCCTATTGGTAAAAAAAAATAAAAATCAAATTATGAAACTTTGTAATGAGACGAATTCAACAATATTTTTCAAAAAAAATAATTCACATACATTAATCAAAACATACATTAATGTTTTGGTTGATTACCGTACCGTTCTTTTATTTTTTCCAAGCTGACAAGAATCACTCCGTTTCTGTCTGGACCAGAAGGGGTTATGTTCTCAACAAAAATCCTCCTATAATCTGATGGTAGGAAAGATTATGATAAAATGTAAGGATGCTAATATCAAGGATTATAATTTCACTAATTTTGTTCTTGAAGTTGATTATAGGGACACTGTGATGGTATCACGGGGATGGCAAGTCAACACTGGAAATACTGACGATTCATGAAATAAAGAGAAGACCGAGGAACTACGACAGCACAATCACGCACATTCACCCTAAGATCAATCGGGCAGCATAATACCTAGCACTTAAAAATATTTCCATTAGAGTTGCAGCACTATAACCGGTTCCTTGGTATTCTTAAATTTGATGTTATTAGTTACTCACATGTAATTGTTCCCGAGTAGGCTTTGGTTCGATCCTCCTACTCATTGTACTTTCCTTTTCTCAAATAAAGTGTTCCCCGACCCTTATCCCAAATGCCTTTATGGTTTTTTGGTTTGACACCGGGTTAAAAAAATTATGATAAAATGTAAGGAACCTACACAGCTTCCAAGTGTAAGGCTTCCTGCAGATCATTTGGAATGGGATCCTCAGCCCGCCATAAAAACGGACCCTCCCATCACAATTTCGCAACCACGTAAGCAGGCATGTTGCACTGGCCTGAAATAGGCCCAAATTGGACAACCACGCATATTGGGCCGCATAAATAGACACCGCCCCATCAGCTTCGCATAAAAAAGCTCCACTTCCAGCTGCGCGAAATGAAAGGACACTCCCTAGTCTAGAGCCTGTCGGAAAATTTCCTCTATTTCCTCCCAGTTCGCCGACGAGCCACTCAAAGGAAAACCGTCCGCCGCTACAGCTGCACCCGAATGATCTCTTAAGAGGAAGCCATCCGTTGACCTGCCATTCTGCCTGAAGACCGCCCAACTCAGCTTCATCTTTCCCGTTGAAGGTTTGGTCCACCGCCTTATCCGAGATAATATATACTCCGTACCTTATATATGATGGGTGATTTTAGTCTATTTTAGTACTAAATTTTTGAACATGACTTTGATTACATTTTTAATGTCTTGGACTGGATAATTAATTTATGGCATCTTTCCAATTTATTTACCAATTTTGGTGAAGGTTATATCGGACAAAAGTATTGATCAAAACTCAAAAGATTTTGATTTCATGATTATTATTAGTCCCGTCAGATAGCATAACTTCTTTCAAATATAAACATAGGCAATTTTCATTCGTCGTTTCATTTACAATGAGGATAAACAAAAGTAAAGGACAATCTCAGCAAGTGGCATATATTTCAATGATAAACCTTAAAAAGTGGGTTAATGATTCTTATATGTAATATAAGAAAGGTCGTGCTATCAACACCATTAATATTGTGATATATAAATAAGTTCTTTAAAATTTATGATATTTTTTGTAAAGTATAAACATTTATGATTCTTCTGTTTTGTACTTTTATGAGACCTAATAATTACACTCTTTAATTCCATTAGCACATACATTGAGTTTATTAATGAGTATCTATAGAAGAAAAATCTTTCCAATTGTCATAAAAGGAGATCATACATGTAGCACAAATCTATGAGAGACTTTATTTCCCACACCGGCAACATAAAAGGGTGTGAAAGCGTTTATAAGTTCTTTTAAGCTTGTAAAAGTTTGTAAAGTGAAGATTATAGCATCAATTAATTAAAAAATAATTCACTGAGGAGTTCAACAACAATTCATACATACATGAATATATGAAAAATGTATTAATGCATATATATGAGTTGTTGTTGAATTCCTCAGTATATTATCTTTCTTCTTAATAATTTTTTTCAGCACTTATTATTATTATTATTATTATGTTTTTTCCTAAATAAGAGTAACTTACAGAATATTCTAACATTTACTTTTCTTTTATTTTCGCATGTATAAGAGGGAAAATTGGAGCCAAAAGTAATAACAACTTTATTACTTTATAACTTTGTTCTTAAATAAAATTTTCACTTTCTTTTTTGAATGCCCCTTAATCAAATATTGTTTTCTTATTTGGTAAAAAAATCTATACCAATTTACTAGACTACCTTTTTATAATAATGATAGTACAATGTTAAACAATTCAAAATAGTGTCAAAACAATGTATTGTACAATAAAATTTATCCTCAATGAAATCGCATTCCAGAATGACATATTTCCTTAATATGCGCAAATCAAATTAGGAATTTTAAATAGGGACAAAGAGAATACGAAGTATAATGTAAAGATAACAATTTTGCTTCGTGTAGACTCACGATTGCACGACGGCTTACACACCCAAGTGTAATTGGAATTGCCTATGCGCACACGATTACACTTGAGTTTTAATAAAGTGTTCGTGAGTCCAAAAATGAATTGTACTAAAACCCAAATGTATTTTTTTTGTGCACAGATAATTACACTCGGGCGTGTGAGATGACGTGTAAAGGGGCATGTACACGAAACAAAATTCTAAAGATAATACGGAGTACTCGGTAAAACATAGCAGCTGCCAGCCTGCCACCCGAGAGAAGTAGACAGGATTTGTTGCGTGATAAGAAAATATGCTCATTGCAAATATCCACCCCATCTCCTACAGAAATACCATTTCATCTTATCCCTTTGTTCATGAAGGGAAGATCAGCTCAAGAAAACATGGAATTCTTGCACTTGCAGGAAAGAGACAATCACCACCACCTCAAGAAAACCCCATTTTGCCTCTGAAACTGTCCAAAACTACTCTTGCTCAGTCTGCCCTCGGAGTTTTTGCATTGGGATTTATAGATGCTGGGTAATTTCTTTCTCTATTTTAAAGAAAATTTGAACTTTTTTTTGTTGTGTCTTGTCATTTGATGTTTTTATACATGTGGTATGTAAATCAGGTACAGTGGAGATTGGTCACGGATTGGGGTCATCCCTAAGGAGAGCGAAGATGTGCTGAAAACTGCAGCATTTTTTGTGGTTCCTTTGTGCCTATTTATCATTTTTTCTTTTTCCAAGAAATCAGAGGATTGAAATTTCAAGAGTAGTATCTCTTCTCACCCTCCCAAATTCCCAGAATTCATTGACCTATCCTGTTGGTATTTTTTGAATCTGATCACATAGTGTTCATATTGAAGTAGAGGTAATCCCTTGGAATTGGAATGTTCACACATGGGAGTAATACTTTTTGGGTCATTCTCGTACACAAAATTTGTACACAAATTATAAATTGCCTGTGTACACAAGGAATTGGCAGAAAATTATTGATTTATTTTAAAAAACTTGCATATGTATACAGACGACTAGTGGGGTGTGTGTACAATTTGTGTACTAATTTTGTCTACAAATGTAATTTTCCATATTTTTTCCTGACAATTATGTACATAATTTTTTTAAAACAATATACATAGTCATGTTTCAAATTTCAGGTGAGTTGAGACCTAGTATAGTGAGGCCCATAGCGTATTCTGTAATTTGAAAACTTAATCCCTTGATAAAAAAATCAGATCTCCTTCTACCTCCAAAAGGCTGGTGAACCATGTAAATCGGTTTGTCTCTTCTTATGTTATTTTGCTCTTTGCTTTGTGTCAATCAGCCATAACATAGTTGAACTTGATTCGTTCCTGTTTTCCGCTTAGCTTTTAAGCTAGGAGAGAATTTTAGTACCTGGTGCATAAGTTATTCTGCATTTTTCATTCAAATTTCTAAAATCTGACCTTTGAATAGTTCATGGAGTTGTAATTGTGATTCATTGTGTCTACACTCTACTGTCTAGGGTTTGACATGGGCTCTAGATGTAGAACTAGGACCGGGATCATCCTGACTGGCTGACTCAAATCGAAAACTGAAATAATGGAAACTGGAGCAGAACCAATATCTAGAACTGGCCTAATTGAGTTCAGTTTCAGTTCCTCAAAAACAGGTCAGGGTACAAAACCGAACCAAAGCTACTATGATAATTTGACATGTATCGAATCTTATCTGGAAATTCCAGTCCCGGTCTCGGTATGGAGACCATCATTGCTCCCAGTTTTATCTGCCCTCGGCGAGAAATAGACCTTATCTAACCATCCTAGAAGCAGTACATTTACAACTAATAAATATGCAATTGATGAATCCGAACTGCGTAGTATAAAATGAAAGATGAACACTAAGAATGAATGATCAAGGAACAATGTAATACAAGTGTGCTATTACTAAGGAACAACTGTTTTCTTAATGAAGTGCCTTAAGCCATACATAGAAGTAACACAACTTGGGTATCTTATTTACTGTGTGCGTGTATACATACATATATGGAAAGACAAATTCCACTAAATGGAACCTTACAGGCACCTGTTGATATATTTATACTCTGTATGTCTATATGATATGGTCACCAGGGGTTTAGCCAGGAGAAGAACTTAGTCTGAACTGGTACAAACAATTTTGAGAATATTACCCGAAATAAGACTAAAACTGTTTTAGTCCTATTTCGGGAACTTTCCCAACAATTTTTTCAGATATTTTTTTAGTCATAACGGTTTACATATAGCATACATGCAAGTTTTTTTCACATTCGGGGTGGGTGGGGCCCGGCTAAATCCTCACTCAGCTACGCCCCTAAGGTCACAGACTCACACTAAGACCGGCTAAAGACTGCAGAGTGGCAATCCCCTACGCCAGTCCATAACCACAAGCGTGGCCACACAGTGTGCCAGCGCGGCCGCAACGACAAACACATGGAAGATCTGGTGGCTACTCCCAACAAGATCAAACCTGCCCGGTCGCAGCCTCTCTGGGATTCTAGCAACATAGAACCCTGCCCCCACTGCGTACAAAACCCCCATGGCAACCTCACAACCGAGAGCCACCGCAACATGACGGTGGTGCCCGTACAGTAATGCGGTGTGTGCGGCCGGGACAATGCCAAAGAGCCCCAGCGTCACAAAAACGGTAGCTTTAAAGGATCTGAAGCGACCCGAGGAGAGGGCGGGCGATAGAAGCGTGATGGCGGCAAGGGTGGCTAACAGAGTGATGGAAGTGAAGTAAAAGAGGCGCCAAACTGGGTGGCAGGAGAAGATGTAGTAAGTGGGAGCAATGAAGGAGGTGGTTATCATTAGTGAGATCCCGGAGTGGTCAAGGCGCCAGAAGAGGAGGTTGCACCGCCGTGAGTGGCACGCAAAGAGGTGGGATACCGAGCTTACTACCAAACAGCAGATCGCCCCTCCAAGGAATATAAACCAAGGCCATGTGGGAATCATAACTGAATCAGCTCCATTGTTGTTGATCACGTTATACAGGATTGATGACTCTGGAAATTTTCTTGGATAAGATTCCTGGACATAGCAGATCGAACATGCATGCATGAAAGAGGAGAAAGAATGTTTATAATATAGTCTTCAATTCAACTAAAATGGAGAAATTTTGAGTCATGTTGCGTAGATCAAGCAACGTATACATGGACTAATTGACTTGTTATTGTAACAACTAACAATGTTAATAAATTATTAGATACTCCCACATGACTTGTTGTTTACGAAGTACTTCATATTAGTTTATGCACCATATGGTGACATGATAGACGTAATTATGTTGCATATTCTAGTCTAAATTATGTGATCTAGCATTGTGGTATTTAGTGTGATTGGTTAGACAAAAGTTGAAATAAAGTCAAGTTTTATGGATTGAAATTTTATTGCTCTTTAACTAATCAGAAAAACCATAACCCTAGTGGATTTAGATGACCCTTGTCCAACGGAATCTACTCTAGAATTTCTGGCCAAAATGTGCATAACTCCGCTACTTTTCCAACCTAACTCTAATCTTACTTTTTGATTATTAAACAATTAGGCGCGTGAAGTGAAAGGACTCTAAATATCATTTTTTTCTTTTACAAGTACTTCTTATTATTACTTCTAGAGGACGGAAAGAGTTCGTTCAGCCTCAGATCAAATTGAATCACTCTTTTTTTACCCAAAAATATGAAAAAGTCTTTTATATATAACACGAGTAATTTTTTGTTGACAAAGTTAAAAACAAGTAAAATAATCTTAGCATAAACAATACATATGGGTGGGCATATGAATGTATTCTTTCCGGTCTTGAATCGTGTTTTCGATTTGACTCCCACACATATAATTTTCAAATTTCTATTCAATGCCTCTCTCCTACGCTTTAGTATAAAGTAATGAATCACAGAGTAATATATACGGAGTAACATCAGACTATCACATCCCATGAAAGGAAATTGTCATGAATAGGTTTTGAAATTTCAACATAGGACTGCTGTATGTGTTTTTCTTTTCGAAATAAGAATCATTACTGTCATGATTGAAAAATACTGTGATTTATGGTGGTGGATACTTCCATGTTGAATATCTTGTACTGCAACTATTTGACTGTAAAGACTCGAAGATGACAGTAAATATTGTCATGTTGAATGTTTGTGGTTGCTTTTTTCTAAAAAATCAATCTTTTTAAACCGATTTGTGAGAAAATGATTAACAGTGAAAGTTGGTAGTGCGTCTGGAAAAAAATAGTTTTGAAAAAGTAAAAATTGATAAGTGTTTGATACAAAATATATTTTATATAAAACTCCATAAAAAAAAGTGAAAAATAGTAGTTTAAAGCACCTTTTACCGCTTTACGCTTCTAACTTTCAAATGCCCAATTAAGTAGAAACTCTCACTTAAAAATACTCATTTTAATTTTTCTTAAATCTAAACTTGAACTGCGCTATTTAAATTTTTTACACACTCCCTATATTGCTAATCCATGGACACCAATGGTGATTGTTGATTAATCATATTTTTTAAAAATGTAGGTAACTTTTATTTTACCTATCACAATTGTCATACAAATTTAAATAATCGCTACCAAGTGAGGCAGAGTGGAAATGTGGAATAGCTCAATAGCTCACCCGGAAAGCAGTTTCTGAATCATTGTGCTTCACTGTTGTGGCCTCCCACCTGTTCATTTCAATATCCAATTTTCAGATGGTGTCATGGTGAGAATAGTAATCAGGGGAGGCTGAAGGGGGCCTCGGTCTCCGCTGGAAAAAATTTGTGATGTATATACATATGTATAAATATTTATATGTAGCAAAGTATATAGTGAAATTTTAAACTTTGGTCCCTATAACTTAAATTCTTTAAACACCGATCCTCATAACCTACAATTTCTAGCTCCGCCACTGATAGTAATAATACTCCGTACAATATATGGAGTGATTCGGAGTATATATTCCATCCAACAAATGGCGAATGACGAAGATTGTTGATCTGTTTCACTAAGATTGTTACATACTACATATTAAATTTGATAATGTTTGTGTTTCAAAATCCTTATTACTCCCTCCGTTCCTAAATAAACTTCCAACTTTCCTTTTTCGTCCGTTTCAATTAAAACTTCCACTTTCCCTTTTTGGTAAAGAATTTGTGGTTCACAACATTTCTTACACATTTCTCTCTCCTATGCACAACTCTCCACCATACAATATCCACTATCTTAAACTTTGTGCCAAACCTATTTGGAAGTTAAAATGGGAACGGAGGTAGTATATTATTTTCATTCTATCGATTCAATATCAAACACATAATAAATGCACCACATCTTCTTGTGCTAATGTTAGGGAGACAATCTCAGACGGATGTAGTACTTCGGATTAGGTTTTAAAACCGAATTCATGAATTATATTAATATCAATTTAGAGCTCGTTTGTTGACCTTATTTTTAGATTTTCAATCTTACTAGTCTGTTTTTTCATTAAACACTTCACTTTTGGTTTCAAGCGTTGAGTTTTGTAATCATCAAAATAGGTAAGATTCACGTTACATCAAAATATGTCAGGTTGAAGTTACTTTCTGACTCAATTGGCTGAAGTTACTTTACATGATCCTAGCTTTTAGCTATTTTTTATATAAATTTTCTTTATTTCATTAATAAATTCTATTTTAAATTTAGTTTTTCTATAATTAAGCAGATCCAGCCATTTTAGTCACAACATCATCAATTTCAGTAGATCCATCCAATTTAATCAATTTTAAAAAATAATGGATAATAGTTGTTCTTTCTATTGTCTAAAAGAACCCTAAAATATACAATCATATGATTGAACAAGTGCTAAACAATACAGTACTACTTAACAAACAATTAGGCGTGGTGATTCCGATTCCAATATACACCGGATTTGATTGTTTAGATTATACTAAACCAACATTATACAATACTAGACGATGAACTCGTGCGTTGCACGGGAATACTCAATATACATTAATGAGATGAAAGGAGATTGATTATTTTGTTACAAACTTATTCCACACTTGAAGTGTTATTAAATCGATCAATGATCATGTTATGAAGATAAACAGAGCACCGCAATTGCTTTAGGAGGGAAAATTGCAAAATCAATTGGCCACCCAATTGCTTTATATAATATAAAGATAGTTGTTCTTTCTATTGTCTAAAAGAACCCTAAAATATACAATCATATGATTGAACAAGTGCTAAACAATACATTACTACTTAACGAACAATTAGGCGTGGTGATTCCGATTCCAATATAGACCGGATTTGATTGTTTAGATTATACTAAACCAACATTATACAATACTTGACGATGAACCCGTGCGTTGCACGAGAATACTCAATATACATTAATGAGATGAAAGGAGATTGATTATTTTGTTACAAACTTATTCCATACTTGAAGTGTTATTAAATCGATCAATGATCATGTTATGAAGATAAACAGAGCACCACAATTGCTTTAGGAGGGAAAATTGCAAAATCAATTGGCCACCCAATTGCTTTATATAATATAAAGATACTTGAAGTGTTATTAAATCGATCAATGATTATGTTATGAAGATAAACAGAGCACCGCAATTGCTTTAGGAGGGAAAATTGCAAAATCAATTGGCCACCCAATTGCTTTATGAGCCCATTTGGTAACCCCTTTTTTCGGCTTATCAGGCTTATTAGCCAACTTTTTCACCAAACACGTAACTTTTGGTTTCGCGCACTGAAGTTTGTAATAAGCAGAAAAAGTAAGGTTCGAGTTACTTTTCTGGCTGTATTGGCTGAAGTTACTGTAGAGAATCATTTTAGCTATTTTTCATATAATTTTTAATTGAATTTATTAACAACAAATATTTTAAATATAATTTTTTCATGAATCAGTAGAATCAGCCAATACAGCCACTTCAGCCAGAACTTCATAAATTTCAGTAGAATAAGCCAATTCAGCCAATTTTAGTGTTACCAAACGGGCTCTACATAATATAAAGATAAAGATAGTTGTTCTTTCTATTGTCTAAAAGAACCCTAAAATATACAATCATATGATTGAACAAGTGCTAAACAATACAGTACTACTTAACAAACAATTAGGCGTGGTGATTCTGATTCCAATATAGACCGGATTTGATTGTTTAGATTATACTAAACCAACATTATACAATATTAGACGATGAAAGGAGATTGATTATTTTGTTACAAACTTATTTCATTCTTGAAGTGTTATTAAATCGATCAATGATCATGTTATGAAGATAAACAGAGCACCGCAATTGCTTTAGGAGGGAAAATTGCAAAATCAATTGGCCACCCAATTGCTTTATATAATATAAAGATAAGTAGTATAATTTATTAATTAAAATAATAAATAAAATAATTATCATCGTGGAGAATTGGCAAAACATGCAAACTTAGTGAACATGTATTATTATTGGAACAAGAGATTTAGTTATTTGGCTGGGACATGATAATTTTATTGAATTAAAAAACATAAAAAAATCTTATTCAAAATAAAGAGATTTATATAATTGAAAAGGTATTACTCCCTCTGTCCTATTAAACTTTGCCAACTTTCCTTTTTTCTTTGTCCAAAAAAACTTTGTTACTTTCCTATTAAAGTAACTATTTTGTGGTTCTGCACATTTCTCTCTCATCTGCACAAATCTCAACTACACAGCTTTTACTTTCCTTTGAGCTCATTATGTATAAAGTTTTTTTGGAATATTCTTCTAAACCTCCCCTTTGAAAGATCAACAATGATGTTATCAGACCACAAGGTACTTGGGTCGTTATGCATAAAGTTCATTACTTAAATACGATTTTAGATAAATCTTAATTTTCCAATTATAAAAATTAAGAGCTCGTTTGGTGCATATGTTTTGCGGCTTATCACGCTTATCAATCAACTTTTTAACCAAACACATAACTTTTGATTTGGCGCGCTGAAGTGTGTAATAATAAGAAAAAGTAAGATTAGAGTTACTTTTCTGATTGTATTGGCTGAAGTTACGGTAGATGATCATTTTAGCTATTTTTCATATAACTTTTTCTTAATGTTATTAATAAAATATATGTTTAAATATAATTTTTTCATACATCATCAGAATCAGCCAATATAGGCACTTCAACCAGAACTTCATAAATTTCAACACAATCAACTAATTCACCGATTCCAGTGTTATCAAACGGCGTCTAAGATGTAGCGTACTTTATAAACCAAGCATTCCAGCCCAGCAGGTTCTGAGGTTACCGTGCCTAGTGGGAGACCTCGAGTTCGAAACCCGCTAGACACATAAGGGTTTGAAGCTCAATGGAGTGAGTTTCAACTCTGATTACTTCAGACCCCAGCCCCTCACTTTATAAAACTATAGACGTAACTTTGTCGTTATTTCAATATTCCTCGAGCCTTATACTTGTATTACGGAGTATTAAAAGTAATAAAGCTAATACACCCATAACAAAAACCGAAATCAAAATTTATTTTCTTTTTAAAAGACTTCAACCCTCAACCTTCAAAATATATATATATATATATATATATATATATATATATATATATATATATATATATATATATATATATATCCGATAAATATACTTCAACTTGTACGGAGTCTTTTTCTTTTCATTTTTACACAAAAAACAACATTTGTTTGAATAACATAACAGTAAAAATAGCCATGAAAACGATATAGTGCACGCAGGGGACAAGATCAAACATATATCCTGACACTGACCTGAGGAAATTACCGGCAGCCAGCAGATTCTCCACCGAAGCTTTCTCCGTCAAGCTCATGACCGTCAACGCCACAAATATCATAGCTCCTCCCAAATGCCTGCAAAAACAATGTTCTAAAATCAGACTTCTTAGTCTTTTCTTATGAAGATGTGATTTTTTAATACTATCAAACATCTTGAGATGGACTAAAAAAGAAATTTAGTGGAGGGAATATGTTTTACTCCGATTTCAAAATTTTAAGTTGAATTTACTCTACTAATTGAAAATTATTCTCACGTCCAGATGTTGAGAGTCTCATTGTGCAAAGAGAAGACGCTGAGGACCAAATCCTTGAGCGGCCATTCGCAGCGGTAGTAGTCGCGGATGAATTCGTTGTCCTGCAAATAATCCGGCAACGCCTCGTATTTCACCAATTTCCGCTCGAATTTCACCCGATTCTTCATTTTCTTCACCTTCGCCGCCGAGTCAACCCGGTGGTCGGCATCCACGTCGGCGGCCATCACTCTCATGCTCTGCCCTCCACAGCCTCCGCGACGATTCATTGGATTCCTCTCCGCGTAGTCCGGAAAATATCAGTCACCGGCGGTATATACTTGCCGGAGAGAAAGAATTCCGTGTTTATGAAATATAGAGAGAGAAAGTGTAAATTAGTTATCTCTATTGTAGTTTTGAGTGAGAGTGAGCATCAATGAAGTTGAGCTTTGAAGGTTGGCTGTTGCCTGTTGCCACATCCCACATGTATCATTTGACAATTTATACCCAAATATTTACTTTTTGTTGCATTTTTATCACTCTTTTGCTTGTGATGTACTCCGTATTATAAAAATTGTTTAAAGATTTATCCCTGTCTATTAAAATATTTTCTTCCCTTATATTCTTGTTTAATTAAGAGCCCGTTGAACCCATTTAGTGAGCATGTTTTTCAGCAGATCAGTTAACTTTTTCACTAACTTTTGATTTCGCTTTGGATTGCATAATAATAAGAAAAAATAAGGTTAAAATTATTTTTCTGGTTGTATTGGCTGAAATTACTGTAGATAACTATTTTAGTTATTTTTCATATAATGTTTTCATTGTTTTATTAATAAAACATATTTTAAATATAATTTTTACATAAATCAGCAGAATCAGTCATTCCAGTCACTTCATATAATTTTACATAAATCAGCAGAATCAGTCATTACCAAACGGATTCTAAGTTTTGGTTTGCATCTTTTACCATGTTCACTTCTTATGTTTTTCACCTTTCAATTTGCTTTATAGAGTGTTTATATCTTCTCCTTTAACTTTTATTTAGGTCTTGTTTGGTTCAAAGAAGGGGAGGGAAGGGGAGAGTCAAGGAGGGAAGGGAATGGAAGGGGAAGGAAGGATTTTGATAAAAAATTGTGTTTGGTTGGAGGAAATAGGAGGAAAGGTTTAATGAAAAATTTTCGCAATTTACTTTTATTTGATAGCTTACTTCAAAAAATAGATACATGTCTAACTATTGTGAATATTACTCCTATGGTCATGAGTCGTAACTTAAATTTATTTGATTTTTTACTTTTTTAATTTTATAATTTTTCAATTTGGAATTTTTGATTTTTGTTTTTTAATTTTTTTTATTTTTAATTTTTAAAATTTTTAATTTATAATTTTTAAATTTTTTAATTTTTAAAATTTTTAATTTTTTAATTTTTAAATTTTTTAATCTTTAAATTTTTAAATTTTTATTTTTTTTATTTTTTCAAAACTTTTTGTTTTTTTACCTTTTTATATTATAACATTTTGTTCATTCACGTAGAAGATGGATAGTTTGTTGTTATCAACACGTTTCCTCCGAAATACCCCGATTTGGGGGGTTTAGAATGGGAGGAAGTGGAGTATTTTGAAAGTCTTCCACTTTCCTCCCCTTCCCCCCCTCTTTCTTTCAACCAAACACACAAGAATCCCCCACTTTCCTCCCCTCCCCTCCAAAACCCTCCAATCAAACAGGGCCTTAATGAAATACATGAAGAGCATGTTTGGTAATAAAAATATTAGCTTAATCAATAGATGAAAAAATAACTAAAATGATTTAATAAATTAAAGAAAAAGAATTATGATGATACAACTTGAAATGGAGTAACCTTCTTCAACAATTTCACCATGGAAAATAACTTACATCTCACTTATTTTGATTATTATATAATTTAGGATGTTAAAAAAAAGTTTTACGTTTGATAAAAAATGATTGATAACCAGAATATAAGATTACTAAACAGGTTGGAAGTGTTTTAGAATAACTTTAAAAAGCAAGAAACAAACTTTATTCCTTTAGTATGTTTCATTTTCAAAATTAGATTGCTATCATTAATTATTTAATTGTTGATGGACCAAGAAGAAAAATAATATAAATACTAAAAGTTACTCCCTCCGTCCCTCTTATATTGTCCCGTTTTACCTTTTCGGGAAGTCCCACTAAAATTGTCCCATACCATATTTGATCAAGTTTGTGTGATTCTAAATCATTCTTACTTTATTCTTACTTTATCAATTAATATCAACCACACAACCACACTTTTCTTAATAATCATGCCACTCTTTTCCGACCCAATATAAGAGGGAGGGAGGTAGTATATTTTAGAGAGAAAGGGGACAATTAAGTGTCTTCAAACTTTATTAAATTTGCAACCAGGCCCCCGAACTCAAAAACCCTCATAAACACATTTGTCAATCCATTTAATTAAGCAATTGAGCCCTCTCAATTCTACAATTCTACCTGCACGTATCGATAAGGAGGTATTTTTTTGTAAGAAATTTCTGACACCAACAAGTAAACTCATAGTTTCAATTTACCGTTCGGTCGGGATTGGGGGCCCTCAGGGATGGGGTGTCATCCTTTTTTTATAGTTTCAATGAGTGAGAGTGTATTTGTAAAGTTTTTCAATTCATAAATTTAATAGCACAATGGATATTAGTTTGTGAACTTATTTTCATATTTTCTCTATTTTAGAGACTTAAAGTATGTTTAAGCCTCACGAAATAAAATTGCGCATAGAACTTAAAAGTCTAAAGTTTTCAAAAAAAAAAAAAAAACTTAAGGGCCTGTTTACTAAAAGAGATATTTTCCAATTTTCTATTTCTGTTTTCCATTCTCAAATTTTCTGTTTTCATTTTCCTGTTTTTCTATCTCCAATTTTCTGTTTTCATTTTTAAGTTTTCCATTTTCAAATCTGAAAACATGTTCATCAATTTTTTTCACCCGATTCTGTGACCGACCAGAAAATCGAAAGTATGGTACCAGTCCGGAACCGAACCTAGTACAATCCAAGTAAGGTACCAGATCCCACATATAGGAAAGTCGGGATCAAACCGGTTGGTCCCGATCGATCTCAACGGTTAGTTTAACGAATTCTTTTCTCATTTCTCTATTGGTCGACAATTCAACGACTCTTTTAAAACTCTTCACTTTAAACATGATTTTAAAAAACCGAGACCAAACCACCACCTCATTGACCGGCCCAGACAGGGACCTTTGAGTCATTGACGGGACTGGCCCGGAACCACCCGGTTGTCGATCGGACCGAACAAGACCATCCGGTCATTGGCCGGACACGATAGGGACTACCGGATCGTTGATCGACTAAGACAGGACTGCTGGGTGGTCGACCGGACACGACGGAGACCACCAGGTAGTTGACCAAACTCGGCGGGGGCTGCCGAGTCATTGACCAAGCCATATCGGATCGGTACTGCCCGGCCATCGACCGAACGAATATGTACCGCGTGGTAGTGGATCGGACCAAACTGGGATCGTCAGGTCATTGATCGGACTGGATAAGGACCGCCGAGTCGTGGACCGTGTTAGGAATTAAGGCTTCGATGAATACACAAGCACACACGATTGTAAGATGCGAGATCTAAAGAAGAACACAAGAATTTAAAGTAATTCACCGGTCAAACTGACCGGCTAGTCCACTGTGCGAATTAGAGAGATTTTATTACTGAGAGAATGGTTTTACAATTTTTGGTGATATTGGTTTAGGGTTCACTAATGATCTATTTATAGAGATAGGAAGAAAACTCTAAAGAATGGGCTTTCTTTGGTCCCAAGAAACTAGGTGGGAGTTTGATAGTATATGGTTATGTTTGTTTATGTGTGTAATTTTAACTAGTTTTATTTGTTGTTGTTTGGGAAATTACACACTTTAGGTGTAATACTTTATTTTTCGTATTTGTTTGTAATTTGTTTAGATTAGGGGTTTTCTGAGCTTAAACTAGGTAAAGATCATCAAAAGGATCTTGGAAAGGTCAAGTAAAGTGCAAGGGAACAAGAAAAAGTGAAAATTTGGGAAAATAGTCAAAAAACCGGTCTAGTAAAGCAAAAACCCGATCGGGTTTGACTTGACCCGAAGATCAAATCTGATTTGGAGGCAATTAAACATGCATGGCGAAGATTTGGAAAAGATTTGTCTTTTACCCGATCGGGTAAATCAAAAACCCGATCAGGTAGATGTGACTAATGAAGAGTCCGGGCAATTACTAAGGAAACACGATCGGGTTTCTGAAAAACCCGGTCGGGTAAATGACCCTGCCACCTCCAAACACTTATAAATACACCCCTTTTCCTTCCCATTTGATTACTAATTCACATATACTCTTAAGCTCAGATTAGAACAACATTTCTTTATATTTTTGTAGCATATTTAGTCTCCAAATGAGGAGCTAAACTTCCATTTCTTGGTTTTGCTCTTGAAGCTTGTTGATAATTAAAGTTGTGAGTTATTTTCTTAACTTTTTGATAAACCCAGTTTCTAACAATCAAACAATCTAAACAGGTAAAGAAGAAGCAGATAGAAAGATATGAGATGAACAAACGAATCTAGTATACCGTGTAGAACGCCGCTGCTCTCCCTCGAGAGAGAGAGAGAGAGCAGCGGAAACCCTAATCTCTTTATCTCCCCGCCTCTATTCTCTAAAGCCTAAAAAATGTTAGGGTTCCCGTAAGTTAGCCTCCTTTTATAGGAGAAGTTGGCTAACTTACGGGTTACAAAGAAGCTAACGGGCTGATACACATTTGTGGCCCGTATTACACGTTTACTTAAAAACTACACAAATACAAAGATATTTAATTAGATTGGACACCATAAAATATTCCTAACACTTCTCTCCCTGAATATTAATTCTTGCCTTAATCTATCTTGATATTAATGTTGTGGAGTGTTGCTAAGATGACAATTAGTTAACATATCAATATTAAATATTACTAGAAACGATATCAACGAACCGATGGTTAATCGGTGATGGTTTCACAAATAACTTTGGTTTATTAATGCACGGTCGTGGTTAATAAACTTAAGAAGGTTTAACTAACAAAATAATTTTGACGCACTACGACAAAGTGCTTTGACGCACTACGACAAAGTGTGTCAAAGTGCTCGTCAAATTTGAGCACTTTTGGCGCACTACGACAAAGTGCTCGTCAAAGTGCTCATCAAATTTGAGAACTTTTGACGCACTTTTGAGCACTTTGACGCACTACGACAAAGTTCTCGTCAAATTTGGCACCGTTGCCGGGGAAAGACAATTAATCTTTCTTTTTATTTAGAAAAAAAATAAACAAAATATAAAGAGTTCTTACTTCTTCTATTTCTGAGCTTTGTTGAGTATATGGTAAAAACTCATTCTATAAACATGCTCACATACCAAACAAATCCGGAGATAGAATAAGCCTTCGAGAGGTTGCGAAATTTATTTCCACACACACCCTCGGAGGAATCATCAAACGCTAGCTCTAGCTCTAGCAAATCCGGAGA